CTACTTCCCTACTTCTGGTCATTTTTTTTAAAGTTCCCATATCAGGCATGCTAGACAGCCAGCTGTATAAAAAAATTAGTTTTTTTAAAACTAGATCTACGTCTAGCTTAAAAAAATAAATAAATAAACGCTTAAAATGCCCGTAAACAGATTATTTAGAGCCATAAAAAAGGCAGCTGAACGAGCATTTTTTAAAATACGCAGCAATGAAAAAGGCTAATGGTCGATCAATTAAGTCTAAAAATCGCCCGTAATTAGGCCTATTGAAAAAAGCCACTGAACGAGCATCACTAATTATATAAACGATTAGGCCACGCAGCGTTGACGAGGTTAACCACCGGTCACGAATTAAATTCAATGCAGCTACTGTCGGCCCACAGAGAAGAAAAAAATCAATATACTAATAATTATAATTAAAATACTAGACTTAACAGTTCATTCCGCAAAAAACAAAAACTAATTGTTGCAGTCTGGCAACTAGCGTAGCAGTAGCAATGACGTCACGATACTAAAAATAGCGGACAGAAATGTCTGCATGGGAACCTCATATGGAAATTGATATAAAAAAGGCGAATCAGCATAACTGTAATTACTCATTATAAATATCTCAATTATATATTACTACTTTTGTACCAGGGGGTTTCGACCGTGTACCGGACCGTTTGAAGTGGCAGTTCAGTTTTTCCCAAGAGTACTTGACAAGAATAGTGTGTATTAATTAAAACCACATATCTGGCGATTTTTTCGGTTATTTTCAGGCATGGCGTCCATTTATTTAGCATATCGCATTAAAATAATAATGAGAATTTGCGATATTAGCAGTTTTTTTCTTTTGTTGTGTATAGGACCCCTAAAAAAAACGAAAAAAAAACAAAACGCAAAAAGCGACGAGTGACGTTTCAGGGTCAGAGGTCATCCTGCCATCTCAGCAATGAGCCAGAATAATTATTAGATCTAGACATCTAGATCTCTATATTATTAGCTAAGAAGACAGAGCCTACTTTCAAGCTTTGCACTTGTATCACAAAAATGTTTTGAAAAAAATAAACTTATTATTTTACATGCACGAAAATATATAATAGATCTAGGCCTATATTTTAGTAGGCTGGCTCGTTGCTTAGATGGCTGGATTGACCTCTGATCCTGAAACGTCACGCGTTGTTTTCTGATGGTTTTTACGTTTATTTTAAGGTAACTATCCACGGCAAATGAAAAAACTGTTAATCTTGCAAATTCTCATCATTATTTTAACACAAGATGCTAATAAAATGGATAATATGCCTTAGAATGCCAGAAAAAATCACGAGAATTGTGGTTGTAAATAATGAGAGGATTTCTAGTGGAGCACTCTCCGTATAAACTGAACCGTGGCCAAAAACGACCGTATAACGGGGAAAACGGCCCATATAACAGTAGATTAATATATAATTGAGATATTTAGGCCCTACTAGCTTGAATTATGGATTTTTAAAATTAAAATATTCTGTTATTTCAAAAACACCTTTAACACATATTCTGCTAGCGTCCCATTTATGGGACGCTTGTAAAAAAATTTGCTAAAATTTATTAAAAACTAGTTAAAACACAAATTATGTTTCATTGTATTTAAAAATGGTTAGACTATTGAATTTGTGTGTGTTTTGTGAAAAAAATTAATTTAGAAAAATGTTATAGCGCCGGCTTTGCAGGACTTGTCAAAATGGCGGAAAAAAGAAAACATGCGCACAGGAAAATGCATATCTTCTAAAATATTAACATTTTAAGTGCAAAATACATTTGAAACTTGTAGCAGTACCATATTTCTATCTGATAAAAATTTAAGAGTAATAATTTTTTTTAACTACTTCGTTATATCAAGTGTACAATAAGCGTCCCATAAGTGGGATGCTAGCAACGAAAGGCCTTATGTAGATTGTTACAAAAACGTCACATTTATTGGACACTAGCGAGAAACACAGATGCAAATGTTTATGTTAAATGGTTATTTATGGTGAAACAATTGTTGACTTTGTTAACTGTTGACTTTGGGGTGTTAAGTAGTATTTATAGGTATTTAATTATGACCTTGACCTATATTTACTTATATATTATTGTATACAAAAATTTAAAATATTGAAAAACTTACATTTTTTTTTAGTTTTCAGAATTAAACTAACTGATGTATTTAATACCATTGAATATAAACTAATTTAGTATTGCTGTAAATTTACTAGTGCGTGTTATAAAAATTATAACTAACCAGAATAATAACAATGGTCAAAATTTAGGTGAAACTATTCAGTCTTGGGTGTTGGTTAACACTCTTCATATATATGAGAGCTCAAGCTACATATAGCAGAAATGTGAATTAGCTGTGTACTGTTGTCATGCCCCAATAATATTCCCCTCCAAAGGTTCCCCATACCTGTTTTACTTTGTTAACTTTTACGAGGCTTTGTAAGTGGATTGCTGGTGCTAGATTGGGAGCTGTTCGAATAGTGAGGTGCATACATGGATGAGAGCCATGAACACTTAATACAGGCTACCAGTGTCGGATCCGGGCCCTAGAAATAAGATGTCTGATATCTCTTGTACGCCTCTGGAGGGGGGGGGGGGGAATAGCGAGGGTAACAAAAGAGAACTTGGCTGGATGACATCTGAAACTGGACCAGATCGTCTTTTGCAAATTCACTGAGGGCAGACTTTCTTCCAGGCATCATTTCGGGGGGTGGGGGGGGGGGGGGGACACATCTGCCCTCAGAACAAAATGGAATTTATATAGAAAACATACTTTTATCAGTGTCCACCCTCCCCCGGAAATTTAAGCCCCCACCCCCTTGAAAATTTTAAGTACACCCCCAAAAAATCAATTTTCGATGAATAATAACAATAATTGTGATCATGTGTATATATTTAGACGTAACAGTCACAGCTTTACTTATTTCCAAGTGTTATTCACTTCGATGGATGCTAGATTAAAAGAAAACCAGACATTTGAACATAATTTCTGCATTTTTGACCATGGTATGGCTAACCCAATTGAACATTATCAGTAGTTTTAGCTGTCCTAAACAATGAAATCATTGGCCTAACACTACAAAATTAGTATACAGCTTAATTTTCGCAAGATTAGCCATATTTCGTGATAAACGATTTTTTTTTTTTTCAGTAATGTACATGGGGCCGTTGGTTGCTAGCGTCCCATTTAAAAAATTGATATTTAAAAAAGTATTGATTTTAAAAAAAAAATCTATAGTCATTCCTTCATTCAGTGCCAAAAAGCTAAACCATATCAAAAAATTATAAAAATTTGAGACCTTGGGATAATATGGGTTAAGTTCCTTACCCCTTAAGAGAACATTTGACACCACATTTAAATATCTAGCTTACTTAGTTGACGAGAAAAGAGAGAATTTTAAAATTATCCTAGAATGGAAAATGAAAGCCAAATCCATGTTCTTGCCCCTCAACTGGCATAACATGACGTCATGGACTTGTGTTCACAAGTTTTTAAATCCCGCCATGGTAATTGTGTCAACTTAGGTCATTTACTCACCGGAAAATAACAAAAAACAACTGGTTGATAATAAAACTAGATCTAGTTATTTATTGAATTGGTAAAGGAAAATATACATTACAAATTCTACTCTTCATGTTATTCATACCATTTTAAGAAATAATGAACACTTGCATAAATCAAATGACCATAATAAATATTTTTTATTTCAAATAAAGCCAAAAAACCTCGAAATTTCTGGATGTATGGATGTGTGTCCGCAGCTTTACCGTAGCTTTAAGTCGTATCTCCTCCTCAACGAAGCAATACCGAGGACTAGTTCCAAAAGCAAATATGTTAAGCAAGTTCCGAGGATGATTGTGGGCCAAAAAAAATCCCGGAATTCCTTCCTGGATTTCCTGGAAAAGCCAAAAAAACCTCGAAAAAATGCAGTTTTTTACCAATATCTCGGCTAATGAATGGTTCACAAATAATCACGTTTTAACTGTTTAAGAATATTTAGTAGGCCTACAGATCTAAACTTTTTAAAGATATTCATATGCAGTTTTTATTCAGTTTTGATTAATTAGTGTGTTTTAGCAATGTTTAATCAGGGCAATTTATAAAAGATAGCGATGTCATTGGGACCGTGTGTTATTCACAAAGTTTTGTCCATGTTCAGTTTAAAATATTGTTATTTTGTATGTATTTGATTTATTTTTTAAACTGCTATTGCATTTAAATTGCATTAAAATTGATCAAGTTAGCAAGGAATGCATTCTAAACAGTGTCACGGGCAGTGCGCATCACAGACATCTTTGCTCTCATAGTTTTGTCAACCATAAAAGTTAGCCTATCAAATACAATTTATCAGGCCTGTAAAATAAAGAGGCCTGTTGCATTAAAATGATCGCCCTGTAAGCAAAGATATAGGCAATTTACAATCATCTAATTTGCTATATAAACAGCTACCTTCTGTAAGTTAGAGTGGTTTCCCCTGAATCTCTAAGTATAATTTTACCACAAAAAAACTCAAACAAGATGACTGCTAAAGTAAACGAGCTTGTTGCATCTATGGTAAACATCGCTAGTCTTTATTTTTTACTGAAAAGTTTTAATACAATGGTTTAAAAACAGGTAGATTAATGAAACATTTAAACATTTTTGTAACTTTCAAAACATAAATCCTCCTAAAAATGTGAAATAATTACAAAAATTTAATGGGTCACCTTTTACACATTATTAGTCTCGGTCGATTTTACGTACCTAAAAATTATAGATTACCCCAGATTTGTAAGATTTAGATTAGTCATTTAGTGGAATTCAGTGATTAGATAAGTAATTAGATTTTCTCACTTTTCAATTTAAACATGATAAATGAATAATAGTAAAAACTGATTAAAAATCATGTCTATATCATGAGTTGCCATCCCCATAGTGTTATATTCGAGAAAGTTTAGGGGAGATCACTCCCTTTTAATTACATATACATATGTATAAAACAAGGTATGTGTTTTGTTTACAGGGCTATCCTTTCATCCAAAGAGGCCCTGGGTTTTAGCATCCTTACACAATGGTGTAGTCCAATTATGGGACTACCGTATGTGTACACTTATAGACAAATTTGATGAACATGATGGTAAGTGATCACGTTTATTATATATTTGGTGTATAGAATTTAATTAAAAGGTTTGTAATTGTTTGCTTTCAAGCCCTGTTATTTTATGTTTATAAACTTAAACTTATACAATAAACTTAATATTAATTCCAAGCAATACATTTATTTTTTGAAACCACCCTCTGCTTCCTAACTGATTTGTTTCAAGCTAATGTGACATGAACTGTAATACAATAAGATGCTTAACCAATCTTTGATGAAACCAAACAATAAGTATAATAGATATATAATAGAAGTTTATTAATAACAAGCTTTTAATAGTGCACTAAATAGAAAGAAAAATTGATTTCTTCAGTTAAAATAAACACTCTTAGTTATATTACTATATATAACAGCATAGCTTGCTAAATGAACTAAATGGCATATTGATAAACTTAGAAATTTGTTTCCGACCTCTAAATATAAAAATTCAAAGTTCAGATGTTACAAGATCCAATGGCCTATCAATCATGCAAGTCTATCTGCTACAAAGGATAAGGCAAAAATGAAAATGGCTGCAGGATATCAAGAAATGGGCTGGACTGTCTGTTGCTGAATTACTTTAAGCATTAAAAGACTGGGAAGAATGGCAAAGAATTATGAAAAAGTTAAACATGCTGCCCCAACCTTCTTGGGGTTATGGGATAGACATATATAGGCACACACACCCCATTTCACAAATACTGCTAATAGTGAATAAAAGTAATTTGTATTTGCAGTTGTATACTCTAATAAATCCTTATTAAAAACCCGTATGAGAATGTCCTGTAGAGTTGTCCAAGGAGGACAACTTACAAATGGTTTTCAGGTGTGAAACGGTCCATCAGGACTGCCTGCTGTCACAACTTCTCTTCCTTCTTGCAATCGCCTGGATAGTGAAACAGCCTCCAGAGAACTTAGACATGGAATCCAGTGGACTCGGCGGAAATAAACGACTTGGACTTGCAGATGACCTTGCCCTCCTCTCCCACAACCAACAGCAGATGCAGGAGAAAATAAACATTGTGGCAGAAAAGTAGGCGCAGGTTGGAATTTATATCGATAAGCAAAAGGCATAAGTACTAAAAATTAACAAGCCAGCACAGGACAGGTTACACCTGGTGGAGTCCACTTAGAAGAAACCAGTCCTTTACCTACTAAGGAAGTGTTGTGGAACATCAGGGAGGAAAAGATGGGGATGTTAAAGCAAGGACAGACAAAGCAAGAGCAGCCTTCACACAGCTAAGGAGCATGTTGACTTCCCCAGCAGGGGTGACAGGCGGTGTTGATCTGATGTCTTTTATTAAAGAATTTTAACAAATTTGTATTCTTTAATGGTCTGGGGAAAGTATGTTTTGGTTGTTGTCTTTTTGTTCAGTTCTGCATCTTCTGTTTTTGATTGTGGTCAATTTGTAAACTAGGTCACTTGAATAAAATTAACTATTTTCACTGTTTCTTAATATTTAAAAAAAAAACATTTCAGGTCCAGTCAGAGGTATCAATTTCCATCAACAGCAACCACTTTTTGTTTCTGGTGGAGATGATTACAAAATAAAGGTTAACTTATGTAGCTTGTTGTTGTCTGTCTTTGGCTGTGGCACCTAAATATTTTTATAACTATTAAAATTATTTATCTCTTCATACTTCCTCCCACCTAGAACTCTGTAGGATCTATATTAATTAAAATTTTACTGATTTTTTAAATCCTAAAAACCCATACATATGTAAAAAACCCTTCCAGATTACAGTCAATAATTGGTCAATAAGGGGATAAATAATTTATGTAAAATAAGCATTTTAATAAAAAGAAATATAAAAAAACTTTTAAATGCACTGAAAATAAGAAAATGAAAGTAGTTTGTTTTCTTTCATAAAAGCTTTGGTTACAAAAAAATATGTAAAAGATTTCACGTGTAATTAAAGCTTTTATGAAAGAAAGCAAACTAGTTTTATCTATCCAGTGATTAAATTTTATCTCCCCTAAACTGTTTAATTAATTTTCAATGACTAATTAAACATCTAATCAAATTTTAAAAAAAAAGACTAGTATTGTCATCAAAGTGGAATGTATCTGGAAAGTTTGAACGAAATCGCTGCATTATAAATTGCCACAACCTACACCAAAAAAAAAACAGACGTTGTGAACTAAATAAAAAGTTTTAAAAATTGAAAGTACAACTCCATTCTTGGCAATATCTAAACTCTGGCATACTCTACTGTGCCAAATGTGCTCCATCCATACAACAGTTTAAGTAGGGATGGTGAATTAAGCTTGATGGTTGTTTTAAAGGCTTTTATTTAGCTTGCTCAGTGTGTGTGTGTGGCTTGCAATCTTAATTTCACCCATTTCCCATAGTCCGAATGAGCTTAAATTTGGCACAGAGGTAGATCTTGGATGACTATACATGAACATTCAATTTTTTATCTAATTAGATAGACAGTTAGTTATTAAAATTAAATTTAAAAATTACAAAGTTCAATAATAAAAAGAGAGATAGCAAGATTTAAAAAAAAACTACACGTGATCGCTCAATTAGAGAACCGCCAAGGCTGAAATGTTACATTTGGCTGATTTAATCGACCATGAGGTAATTGGGGCAGGAAACTCAATTTTAGATATCACAAGCTACTGGACAGATTTTAATGCAAACATTTTAGCCCAAAAACTTACTTTAAAAGTTGAAAACAAAGTTTTTTAATAATAACACATAAAATAAATATTATAGGATTAAAGTAGCACTAATTCTTAAGTGTAATAATTATTCTTTATCATTACTGTGTTTAAAATTTAACACCTTATTAAGTGGTACAACTCCTAGAAATGAGGGCATTTTTTAGTGTGACTCAACACAAAAAATGTAATGATATAAGTATCACTTCAAATGTTCATTGAAATACTAATTTTAAATTGTGTTGACAACGTTAATAATGATTCAGCTGTTTATCATTTTACATGACGTCACTTACAATGGCTTACTGTATGATTAAAAAAACTTACTGTGATGAGTCAGTTACTATATCTATCCCATACAAGACTATGCTAAAACTTTTGCTAATCTATCTGCATGTGAAGAGGACAGTATCAGACTTTTTTTAATTGCTATACATAACTAACTTTTCAATCCTAGCTATCAGTTACACTAACTCGAAGCTTCCTCTTGACTTATGCCTATCAACCGTCCCCTAAGTCATTCGTGTACTCATTTTGTCATGATCACACTACACACATTCTCTAACAAGCAAATAAAATTAAAAGCATATTGTTTACTGTCAATAGGAACTAATTCTTAATTAAAGGACACAAATGAGTTTGAGATGGGTTCCATCATTATTGTTGACATGAATAAACATTGTGTTTTTTTCAACTTTGCCTTTTTAGTGACAGTAAAAAAACATAAGCTTGAAAAATTTATAGAAATTTAATATTTAAAAAATCAGTGAAATAAAAGTTGCTGATACAGAGAACTTGCTAATTTTAAGTGTTTTTAATTATTTTCATTAAACTTAAATTATAAACTGTAGTTACGCTACTAGAATTGATTGGCTGTGCAGAAGCTCAGTGATCTATCTTCTAAAACAACTCACTTCGTTGTAATTATATTGTACTCAAACTTTGCTGATAAAAATTTTTAAATAAAATTATACATTTTTAATACACTTTACCTAGTTATGTCATATTTATTTACAGTTTTGGTGATAAAATGAAAAAAATTATTGTTTTTTACTTTCAAAAAAATTTAGTAGAGTTACAGACAAAACCTCACTATAAAAATTTATTTTATAATCATTTTTATTTATATAACTCTGCAGACAAATTTTAAAATAAATAACGAGTCATCCAATACTATTCTTTTTGGTGTCCATTGTCTGTTTCAATTTTTTTTAGTCCAGATACATATAATTTTCGGGCATTATGCCATTGTCCAATTAAAATCTAAAATAATTTATAATTTTTAAAAAAATTCTTTAAAAAAAAACCAGTTTGCTGAATTGTTTGGTACCCTCAAAATGATCTTACAATCAAAATGAAAATATTCAGAAATGTGTTTTAAATATTTTAGGTTTGGAACTATAAACAAAGAAGATGCTTGTTTACACTTCTTGGCCATTTGGACTATATCAGGACAACTTTTTTTCACCATGTAAGTTGAGTGTACTTTTTTGTCTTTATCTGATGTGTACAAGAGTTTTGGTTTAGGAATTTTTTTAAATACTTCAATTCCTGCAGGTATGTTATTAAGTACATTGTAAGTATATTTAATCACTTAATGTATATTATTATATTTTATTGGTTTTATCATTGAAAAATTGATATTGCTTTCATACATTTACTTAAATCAGTAAATACTTTAAGATTTAAAACATTAAAGCCAATACATAAAAATTTGAGAAGTCTAGCCCTAAAACTACTTGAGTCTTACTAAGCAATGGTCCTTATTCCTCTAGTTTGAACTTTTCTGATGTAAAAATATTAATGCTGAAGTATTTACTTGAGCAACTCATTTGAATATTTAAATTAATATCAAAATGTTTATTTTGTGACTTAAATGAATTCTGCTCATTAAAGTTTAATAAATATAGTTTTTAATCATTAGCACATTATTTAAAGTAGTTTACCTTTTTCATCAGGAATACCCATGGATTTTAAGTTCATCTGATGACCAAACCATTCGTATCTGGAATTGGCAATCACGGACATGTATTAGGTAAATTTAAATACCATCTCTAATGATTTTTTATATGTTTATATTATCTAATTTACAAAGTTGAATTCTGCATGTGACAGCAAACTGCGGGTTCCAAAGGAATATAAGAAATTAATAGACACCATTCTCATTGTGTTATACGTCTAAAGTGCTCATCGTCTAAATTCATGATTTAAAAAAGTAATATTGAAGGTGTTGTAAAACAATTTTCATTTTTCAAACTTATAATAATTGTCGCCATTTTTATCAAACAAAATTAAAAAAAAAATGTATCACCTTTCACAAAAATTCTAATTGTGTCTGAAAATTATTTACATTTTCTCCTCCAGCACTCATTACGTCCCTTGATAAATTAGAAAAACATAATTACTTCCCTTTTAAAAAACATTACATTGGGGAAAAAATTTACTTTTTATTACTTTGATTTGGTGTTGGGAAAAAACTAATTACATAATTAGCGGGGATTGATCAAGTGCTATGTTGTAGGTATTTAAAATACTGCCTTTTATTTATTTTATACACTGAACGTACTGTTTATTAAAGTATTTTTTAAAAATCAATAACAGTTAAAAAGCCAGCTCTTAAATGTCCTCTATGTTTACTTCTTTCCGTTTGCAGTTAAGCTTGGGGTATTATAATTGTTCACTAAATTAAAACAGGTGTGTCTACCGGCGTCCTGGCATGGTTTGATTTGGCGCCCTGGGCTATCCTGTGAGCGCTATGGTGCATAATTTCGTTTTAAACAGTGCGATAGAATATTGTTGATAAGAAAGGTTACTATAGTCTTTAAGTGAATCAAATCCGGGCATCCTCTGGTGCCCCGACAGGGTGCTATTTGGCGCCCCGGGCCTTGCCGTGTTCACTATGTTGCCTACGCTTGTTTAAGTGAGTGCAAAAAACTATAATAAGTTGGGGTACTATATTCGTTTACTAAGTTGAAACAGGTGGTTTTGTCGGCGCCCCAGCATGGTGTGATTTGGCGCCCCGGGCTAGACTGTGAGCACTTTGCTGTTATTTTTGTGTTTTCTTTATGTTTGATTGGCGTATGTTGTTTGGATTTGGTTTGTTTTCGTGTGCTTTTGTGTTTGTTTTCTTTGTGTTTGCATTTGTGGTTGGATTTGTGTTTGTAATTGCGTTTGTGTTACGTTTGCATTTTTTTTTGGTTTTGGTTGGTTGGTTAAGGTGGGCAATGCAGAGTATATGCTGATTGCTTAACACACATGTCATGGTCCTTTACAGATAGGTTTTTCACAGAGGCCAGTTCAGGGCCTGGCCGGGACGGCTAGTAAAATATATAGGCCTAATAAAAACTGTTTGACATGTTACCAACATTTAATTAAAATAATTATACTAGATTAAGTATTATGGCATGCTATTTGTTTTAGACTAATTCAGTTTTTCTAAATAGTGTGTTGACTGGTCATAGCCATTATGTGATGTGTGCACAGTTTCACCCCTCGGAAGATATGGTAGTTTCTGCTTCTTTAGATCAGACTGTTAGAGTGTGGGACATCTCTGGTAAGTAAGTTAGTTCAAGATACAAATACAAGCTGCATTAGCTTTAAAAATGTATCCAGGTTTATATCTAATCTTATAAACTTCAGGTTTGCGGAAAAAAAATGTTGCGCCAGGGCCAGGAGGTATTGAAGATAGATTAAGAAGCCCAGGTCAAACAGATTTGTTTGGGACATCAGATGCGATTGTTAAACATGTGTTAGAAGGCCATGACAGAGGAGTAAACTGGGCAGCTTTTCACCCAACTCTCCCATTGATAGTATCTGGAGCTGATGACAGACAAATAAAGCTTTGGAGAATGAATGGTTAGTCTTTTTTACTGCTATCTGCAGTAAAAGGTTTGGAGATGTGTGCACTCATCTCCTTCTACAAAGATCTCCTAACTCATTAAAGAGTTAAGATTTAAGAAAAACTTAATATCTTGAATATTTGTGATCAAAATGATAAACATCTGCACTGCCTGGACTAGTGTAAAAATATACATTTTGCTTGTTTATAAAAAAATAACCGATTTACTTTACAGAATCTAAAGCTTGGGAGGTGGACACTTGCAGAGGGCACTACAATAATGTGTCATGTTGTTTGTTTCACCCACGTCAAGAGTTAATTCTTAGCAATTCAGAAGACAAAAGTATAAGAGTTTGGGATATGAGCAAACGGTGTGTATACTAAATAATTAATGTACAAGTTAAAACCCTTTTAACAGTTAGTATTTAGATTAGAAATGTTTGAAGTTCTTCATCAAATTTAAGAAGTACAGTTCTCATTTAAGGCAGAAGTACACTATTTTGTAATCAGTATGGAATATCTAATGGCTGATTAATTAGACAGTCATTAATAAACCAGGATACTTACTTCACACTGCCAAAGAAAAGAAATAACTAGTATAACCAACAATTGAATTTAGCAGAAAGAAATTCAACGCTTTGTATTTCATCACATTGGCTTTCAAACTGACCTAATAGAGAATATATCATACAGATATCTTGACAGATTTTTGAAAAAAAAAATTCATAACTCTCAGATGCCTGACTTTTCACTAATAAAAAATGTTAAACTATTCAATTAATGGACACCGAGTTGATGAGAATCCTTCCATCACTATTGTGATTTGGATAAAAATCTTGTTTTTGTCAATTTCACCTTTATAGCAGCCAAAAAAATAAACAAAACATAAGCTTGAAGAAAAATCACAATTTTATATTTTTAGAATCAATGATATAAAAGTTGCAATTGTTTGTGTTAAAAGCTTTATTCCTATTTATTACCTGAAGTTTCACTTTTGTGAGATAAATATTGATTGGCTATACAGTTACTCTTATTGATCTTCTGAAAACCCCATTATTTTGGTTTTATGTACTCAAAAGTTTGTAGGTAGAATTTTTTATAAAATAATTTAGAAATTCTTTAAACCACATGGCCTAGTTGTGACATTTTATTGTTTATATACATTTTCAGTGAAAAAAATGAAAACTCGCAAATTGCTTTCACTTTCTAACAAACATCAAATACAACCAATTTTTTAGTAAAGTCTGGCAAAAACCAGTCAGGATTTTTTTACCATATTTATTTTAATCACATTGTACTTGATTTTAAAAATAGTTAATGGGCCTTTCAGCTAATTTTAAGTCTTCTCTTTGGCATCTATTTATTTTCTACCAATTATTTTTTTATGGTTACTTTTCATACTTTTATATATGGTCAAAGTTCTTGCTGTTGATGACATAATGTATTTGTAAGTAATTCTTTTTTGTTCCATTCCACTTACTGGGACACCTTTAATACTTAAATAGCCTAAATCACCCCTTACCCTCCTAAGCACAGGATGCTTATCACATATTACTTGTATTACTTGATACATCATATCTTTCTACTCTTCCATTAAACTGATCATTGTACACATGACTTAGTTATAGCATTTACAATGAACTGAGTGGAAGAGATTTTTTTGTAATGTATGATCCATAGAACAAAGCCAGAGTTATATTTTGTTCCCCTTTTTGGCCATGTGTGGTTTTCTTCATGGGCAAAATCTTGGTTTGCAACATTTTGGAAAAAATACATATATAGAAAACAATTACCAGTCATAAACATTGTATATACATTATTTCAGAACTGGAGTGCAAACATTTAGAAGGGAGCATGATAGATTCTGGGTGATGGCTGCTCATCCCTCACTTAATCTTTTTGCTGCTGGTAACTATTTGATTTATTTTTAACTGTAGATGCGCTTGTAAGGGATTTACTTTAATATCTTCATTTATAATTCTTTAGGACATGACGGTGGAATGATCATTTTCAAGCTGGAAAGAGAGCGCCCACCATTTTCTGTACATAATAATATTCTGTATTATGTTAAAGAAAAGTACTTGAGAAAGTTGGATTTTACAAATTCAAAAGATGTGGCAGTCATGCAACTAAGAGGGTGAATATAAAAATGACTTTATTTTCAGTTTTTAGTAACATAAAAATTTTCAAATTTTTTTCCAATATTGGCACAGGCAGTTCTACTATAAAATAACACTGAAACTTATTAATTAGAGAAGCAAATAGGCATTAAGCCTAAAATTGAAATGCGAAACTCACTATTCTAAAATAAACTGTTTTAGTACACTATTTTACTTTTTTACTGGACTAAGCATTTATAAATACTCGTCTGATCATATGTGAATGTACTTCTAGCTCATATTACTGTAAAATTTTAGAAGTCTATTTGAGCTGACTGTGTGGTACATATTATGTTGACTTGCAATACTTAATTGTGTTGGAGGAAATCTCTTGCAATAAAAATAATAAATCCCCTATTCAAAACTAAAATAGACAACAACTTTGCTTAAAAAGTCTCCTGATTTATGGATATTGAGTTCTTTATCTGAAAGAATTAAAAAAAAATTCTAGAAACATTTGTTGATTCTGTTTAAAGGATAATTTTTTTTATTGCTCAATTGTAATTATATTAATTGTAGCGGTTCTAGGGCTCCTATCTACTCAATGTCATATAACCCAGCAGAAAATGCCATCTTATTGTGCACTGTAAGTATAATATTAAATTTGTATCTTATTACTTAAGCAGACACATTTTTTAAAGAAGAATATAAACTCGTTTATAAAGTGCAGTCTTTCACTTTTAAAAGTTCAGTGAATTATAATCTTATTTTTTGTTGTGCTCTACAAAATATGATTATAATATATTAATTTCATTTTTTTAAATTTTTTTTTTAGAAATCATCAAATGTTGAAAATAGCACTTATGATCTGTATGTAGTGCCTAAGGAATCTGATTCACAAAATCCTGATGGTCTGTTTTCAATTTAATTTTTTAAAAACTTCTTTCAACCAGATGTTGTTTTTTTTTTTGTTTTAATATTTAATAATCAGTTTAATTTTATGATTTGCTTTAAAATATTGTTAGCCCCTGAAGGCAAAAGATCATCTGGACTAACATCAGTTTGGGTCGCCAGAAACAGATTTGCTGTACTAGACAGAACCCATTCAGTAAGTCACAAAAACTGAATTTTTAAGTATGAAAAGTTAATTATGAAATACTGCTGTTAGCAGCAGCTAAGCCAATGCCATTGTCGAGAAAATTGGATAAAGTTTTTTTGCATGATTGTAATGTGTTTTTATTAACATGGTATACATTATTCTTTTAGTAATTGAATAAAGTTTTAAACTGCGACATGCCGATTGTGGGTGGTAGGGGCTTTTTCAACTTTTAAAAGGGGGGTGTTACTTTTAGTCAATAGACGCTTTGAGCTTTTGTACTAGAGCAGTGAAACTTGGCAGAAATTCAGAATTGATGAAGACATACACAGTGCAGGATTCATTATTGAAATGTATTAAATACTTTGGGAAATATCGTACCTCAAGCTAAACTAAGTTTTCTGGTTTAGTTAAAGATGAACTTTAAACTTGTATAAACTTTAAAGTGGACAGAAAATCTAAATATGACATGTTGACCACTGTCGAACTGACTCCTCTGCTGTGCTTCAAATCACCAACTTAAAAATGATGCTTTGCATTTCATTTTTATACAAATATCAGGTTTACCTACTACAACAAGGAAACTTTGCAGAAATACGGATTAAGTGTGAGCCTATACAGTGCAGGGTTCTTTGTCAAATGTTAAATATCGCATGGCAAGGCTGAACAAAATTTCATTAATATAATCTTAATCTAAATACGGTAGTAGTTTGAGATATGAGTTTAATTTGTTCCGTAATAATGCTCATATGTCAAATAGTTAGTATCTCAAAGCAGATTTTTCCATGTTCCGGCCTCCTCCCAAATCGCTAACCTGCTTGTTTTTGTTACAATTTTTAATAAGAAAACTGTTTTTATATGTAATAAATTTCTTACAAAATCATAAAGGCTAATGTAAAGAAATAAACTGGTTTTATAAAGTGTATGTTCTTTGAAATCAGCTAACTTGAGCTTACTGGAGATGATAGTTGAGGTGTAAGGTGGAGGAGCATTACTCAGTTCACTTACTCTCTACACCAGGGGTTCCCAACCCCGTGCCCGCGGGCGCCATGGCGCCCGCCGAATGATTCGTATGTGCCCGCCTCTCACTATTCGACAGAGACAGAATTTTTTTCATAAACATTTTTGAAAGGTTGAAGGGGGTGGAAGTCGAAAGTTTGAGAGGGGGGTGCACATCGAAAGTTTGAGGGGAGGGGTGCAAATCGGAAGTCTGAGGGGGGTGGGGGATGCAAATCGAAAGTTTTGTCCCCGGATGACGGGAAGGGTCGCTACGCCTCTGGAAGGAGTTTGTGGGTTTAAAATAGGTGGTGCCCGCCACCCTTCCGGTATTTTAGAATGTGCTCTAGAGTGAAAAAAGGTTGGGAACCCCTGCTCTACACTGTCAATTCACTAAAGATAGATGAACATAAATGTTTTTGTTACTGTTTTTCTCTTCACTGGTCTTAACTTTTTTAACCAACTGAACTAATTTCCATGTGAACAAAACCTGTTATTAGTGTTAAGGTGGTTTGTTTCTTCCCTCCTTTCAGATTGTTATAGAAATGAGAGACTAAGTTATTAAATATGTGCAACTTTTTCAGGTGTCTGTCCACCCGCTGGTCAGGTTACTCGTATCTCAAATTTTTCTTGTTTGTCATAGTAAAATATCACTCTATTGACAGCTTGTACCTCAAAAATCTTGTATGTCAGGGCACTCGTATGTACTTTAAACAATACTATAATCAACTTTCAAAAGATAGATACATGTGATCCTGGCTATTTTATGTAAATAATTTACTGCTCAGGATTATTTGTTAAAATTAATATTTAAGAAAAAGATAATCCGGCGGTTGCATTCTGGTCAAACAATTCTGAAGTGATTAGCGATGCATAGTTTCACTATTTTGTTGAAGTAGTACTTTTCTCTTGATGCAAAAAGCTGACAATTGTCAATTTTGAGGTTTAATAACACCTGTACGGTACTCATACTGTGGTTTCATACCCCACCTCCCGTCACTATCACTTTGTTGAACTGATGCTACAAACCCTTGTGCATAAGATAAGGCAATCATCTGACACTTTTCGCAACATTGTCAGACTAGCCTCTCTTGTGTTTGCCTAGTAAAGCAATAACATTCATTGGTCAGAAAACCAGGTTAGCCATATCAGATTGAACAATGTATTTTGACATTGTAATATTACACATTTCTTGCTACACATGGTCAAACATTCAAACATATGCTTCTTCAAAAGTAAGTTATAAAGAGATAGGTCTGTTTCAGTAAATTTTGTTTTGATATGTTCAATCAATATTTTATAGGTCTAGTTAATATAGTAGTATAAATATGTTCAAATAAGACCAAAGTGTAAACTAGAATCTGGATGAGTTATAAAAAAAATTTCATTAAAATTGTAATAGGCCTAGGCCAACATTTAAATTTTATTTTAAAAATGTCAGGAAGTAGGGACAGAGTAGAATAAGATTCACACTTGAAAAACTAAATTAAAGAAATCTTTCAAAAAACTAATAGAAAACGAATTAGCAGCAATCAATATCCTAGATGAGGATTGCACTAATGTGGACAAATTAATTGATAAGTTTAACACTACCATAATTCACACAGAAAATGAAGTCATTGGTAAACACGACAAATCAAGAAACCTTGGATCATGGAACACATACTAGATATGTGCACCAATTGACGCAAGCTAAAAAGAAAAAATGCACAACCCAACTGTAGTGAGCCAGTATAGGGCAGTTAATCAGGCCAAAAAAAAAAAATTGAATAATAGCAAGACAGTATACCAACCTCAAAGCAAGGGCTAACCACCTAACTACAAGACAAAAATGGAAAAAATAAGACTACATGTCCCTAATGTCAAAAATAAAAACAAAGACCCCATTCTACCACCAAGAAGTAGAGGCAGCCTTACAATCGCTAAGCAAAGGAAAATCAGCAGAAGTGGGCAACACACCAGCGGGAGGAGAAACCATGTCAGATGTACTGCTAAATATCTGCAGCCAAATTTGGCAGACAGGAGAATGGCCCAAGCTGTGGACCCCCATCTTTTATCATCACCATCAGAAAAGCTGAAAAGATCATAGCTGAAGAACAGGCAGGCTTTAGACAGGGATGCAGCACAAATGAGCAGATCTTTAATCTTAGGATACTTGCTAAAAATATTTACACCAGCAACACATTTTCATAATCTTTAAGAAGCATTCGATAGAGTATAGCATGATGCACTGTGGGATACCATGCCCAAATACAACATCAGCGCAAACCTTACAGAAATTATTTTAAAAGTTATGGTAGAGATCAACCAGCACAGCATTTTTCAACAATTATAGGTGGTTGGTTTCGAACAGTGATAGGCGTCGGGCAAGGCTGCTTACTGTCTCCCATACTTTTCAATATCTAGCTAGAAATGATCTCATGACTGATGCATCAGAAGACCATATAGGCTCAGTCAGCATTACCAACCTATGATTCGCGGATGCAGATACCATTGCAGGCAGTTAAAACAAATTAATAAAATTAGTAAATAGATTGGACAGAACATCAACAACATAGGGCATGGAAATCAACGTTGATAAGACTATGATCATGACCAACAACCCAAATGATACTATGGCAGACATAGTGTAAATTGCCAAAGATTGGGGAAAGTTAATTCATTCAAGTAGCGTGGCACCATACTATCTGATGAAGGAACAAAGCAAGAAATACTTACAAAATGTGCCTAAACAACAACAACTCTCAGTAAAACTAAGAAGCATTTGGCATGACAAAAACACTTCTATTAGCCCCAAAATTAAATGCATGTGGTCACTGGCTGTGTCTGTCCTGTGTATGTATGTGAGCCATAGACCCTCAACGCAGCTTTCTAGAGAAGAATCCAGGCCCTGGAAATGGATGGCTGAGAATTATAAGGTCAACTTTGGTGCCCTTACGACCCTAGTAATGATAGGCCTACATTCTATTAGCATAAACAGTAGGCATATACATGTTGTAGACTTGTACTATACCCAGTACTATACCCAGTGCAAGTTTTAAAGATTTAGCAAATTCCAACACTACACAAAAACTGTTCCTCCAATGTTTATTTTAATGAAAAATTGTAAATACTATGTTAAACATATTACATTAATTGTCACATTAGTTATTACATTAATTCTGATCACACAAATTTATAATGACTATTTCTACAGCAGAAGTTGTATACTTAAAAAGTAATAAAATAAGAAATCTACTTATAATAGATAGTTGCATAGTTTTGGAATCCAAACACAGGATTGCACATAGATAATGTAACATTTTAAGTTACATAACCACAAATGTACTATTGTATCAGCATCTTAATTTTTTATATTTTTAGTATTCAACTGAAGTTAGCTGGTAATGAGCTAATGTGATTTTAAAATAAATTCATTGTTTAATTTAATCAGATAGTGGGATTATGTAACCCGTTATTAATTATGTAATAATGGAGGACCATTTTAAATACTACTTTTATGTTCAGCTTATTGGCCTACAAATATCATATTTAGATTAACATGGTTTTAATTTAAAAGAATGATTTTTTATCACATGTATTGTAGATGTTCTTTAAAAAAAAAATTTAAGGGGGTATTACATAACCTATGAGGTTAGCCAGTAATGCCAATACAATGTACTTTTTAAAATAGCTTAGTTGGATTTTCCATACACAGATTTGTAATTTAGCTTACAATAATAATATCAATTGATGAAGTCTGCTTGCTTTTAATACCACTTTTAATGAAAAATACTTCAGAATTTGGTCCACACCCTACCACACCCTGGTTGTCTTAAAAAATGCAATTTTTTAATTACAAAAAATGCATAACTGTTGTTTATGATCAGATTTTAAAAATTCAAACTGCTGTATAATCTGATCAACAACTTCTATCTAAACATGTAACTATTATATTGTTTACTAAAATTTTATTTTCATTTCAAAAGCTGTCAATTTGTTTCTTATACCCTAAGGTTATTAGTTTAAAAATGTTTTTTTTTTTACACTTTACAGCAGTAACAAAAGTTGCTCCTAAACCGGTGACTTTTAACCAAGTAACTTGACTTCATTATTCCCTCTTCACTATGGGCCTCTTCATTTCATCATCTTGACTTTTTTCTTTGAAATTTCCTTTATTTCTTTCCTTTTGGATTCCACTCTTAAGTTGTCTAGTGCTGCTGTTTGGAACATCTATCTAAAATTTTATTGGTATATTAATGGTAGGTAAAAAAAAATTGTTTCTGATTTAACAGATAATTATTAAAAACCTAAAAAATGAGATCACCAAAAAAGTTCAGGCTCCTAACTGTGAAGATATCTTCTATGCTGGAACTGGATGTCTTTTGCTTAAAGAAGCAGATTCTATCACATTATTTGATGTTCAACAAAAAAGGTCAGTTTAGCACAATCTTATTGATGATAATCAAGCATAGTACAAATGCAGCTTGAGCAGTTACATTGCTAAAATGGATCTAATGAAGCAACAAAAATTCCAACATTTATCCATACTGCATGTAAATTGTATTGAAAACATTCTTTTTATAAATCCTTACAGGACTTTAGCAACTGTAAAGATCTCTAAAGTTAAGTTTGTCATATGGTCTAATGATATGTCAACAGTTGCACTGATCAGCAAGCATAGTAAGTGAAAATACACATTTTTTTAAAAATAATTTTTTCCATGTTTGCTTTTAGCCACTAGTTTGATTATCCTCAGTACCTTGTTTATTTACTTAAATATTCAGTTGTGGGAAATTTCAACTTAAGCCCTTTTCTTAGTATTTTGTAATTAAAAAACAAACAATAGATATATCTGGTGAATCAGATTACCTTATTATTTGGACAGAGTAATTTGGACAGAGTGAAATCCTTTTCACATATTTGATCCAATATTTTTAAGTTGCAGAAGTCACTCTAATCTTATTCTAATATTATTCTAATATAAACAAGTTTATAGCTAACAAATCATTAAACATTCCACTTTAGCTTATAAAATTTAGACCTAAGATACTTTAAGTGTCAAATACTTAAATGGAAATCATTTGATCCCCTTTTACATCTCTCCATAGCTCAAATCCAGAACAAATTATTTTTCATCCGTACATTCACTCCGTTAACTGTCTCGATTGTAGCTGGAAAAATTAGTTTTGTATTTAATCAGATTTTGTTTATGGCATACATTTATTTTACAATGAATAAAGTTTGTAATCCTCACTAGACACTAGTTGAAGATAAGTTCAAGCTAGTCTGTCTTGTTCTGTACCATCTGTCCAGCAGATTAAAAGGATCAAAATATGAATTTTAATAAGCTATTTTGGTAATAATATTAATCTTACTTTTTTTTAGTTATCTCAATTTGTAACAGGAAACTGGAAAACCTTTGCACTATCCATGAAAATATTAGAATAAAATCTGGATCATGGGATGAGAGTGGTGTTTTTGTTTACACTACTTCGAATCACATAAAATATGCTCTTACTAATGGGTAAGTCTATTTACTATTCATTATTCTTGTTGCCTTAATTCTAAAAGGTGTGCTGTTATATTTATTTTTCATTATATTTTAATTATCAAGTAATTAATTTGACTATTTTAACATAACCTTTGAAATTTTGTTAGTGATCATGGGATCATTCGCACACTTGACCTTCCCATCTACATCACTCGGATTAAAGGCAACTCAGTTTACTGCCTTGACCGTGAATGTCGGCCAAGAGTACTCAACATTGATCCTACAGAGTTCAAATTTAAACTTGCTCTAGTTAACAGAAAGTATGAAGAGGTAAATAATTTTATTGGTAAAAAATGTTTTAGATGCTATGCACTTAGACAGAACACTGAGCTCTTTTATGAATATAAGTTACTTATCTACTTAATTTATTGATCCACTTAGGGTTCATCCATTTATGGCATCTACAATAATTAAGGAATTTTGACACCTTCACCCCTCACCCACCTTCACCCCTCACCCCCCCCCCCCCCCCCCCCCCCCACTTGTCCACTTTTTGACAAACTTTGGTTGCCTAATGTTGGTACATTTTGTTTTTCAATGAAAAATAAACAAGGTCTACTCAGCGTTGATGGAGCTCAGTGAATATTAGAGAAAAAATTTCTTTTAAATATGAGCACTGTCATCTTAACTTTACTTTTTGCATGCAGGGTACAAGTTTTATGTTTTAAAATGTAAGCACTTTGATGTTTAATTTCACATGAGGACGTCCACATACAAAATACAATTTTTCATTGCTCCGTTCCATAACTAAAATAAATATTCTTTAAAATATTTCTATCTATATATATAATTCTCTTCTTGGAAACGCTAGAAAACAAGCTGTAAACCCGCTCCCTACCACCCCCACCCCTACATGGTCTGGTGAGCTGTGGTTCACTCTAAATGTTTACAAACAGAGCCGGGTTTAGTGATGGCCATTAGGGGCAGATAATTTAGTTTGAAATGATTTTTAAACGTAGGGGGGGGGGGGGGGGGTGGTGACTAAGTGGCGTTTACTTTAACGGAGGGGGGGGGAGGAGGGGGTTTTTCGTCCTTAACAAGCTACTTATAGTGTTTTAAAGAAATATTTTCGGCTCGTTAGGTTATAATTTATTAGTGTATTAATTTATTAGTAGAATCAGTGTATTTGTTTTTGTTTAACTGTTCATTTAGGTCCTTCATATGGTGCGTAATGCTAAGCTAGTAGGACAGTCAATTATATCATACCTTCAAAAGAAAGGCTACCCTGAAGTTGCCCTACATTTTGTTAAAGATGAGAAAACTAGATTTGGCTTGGCTTTAGAATGTGGCAACATTGAGGTAGGCTATTAAACACAAATATTAAAAAAAAAATTATCTTTCTATATTGTGAAAATACACTTTAAACTACAAATTATATTTCATTTTTTGATGAAAAAAGACATGAATTTTAACAAAATTCACATAGGTTGCTCTGGAAGCAGCAAAAGCTTTAGATGATGCTGCATGTTGGGAGAAATTGGGTGAAGCAGCTTTACTTCAAGGAAATCATCAAATTGTTGAAATGGCTTATCAGAAAACCAAGAACTTTGATAAGCTATCGTTCTTGTATCTTATTACTGGAAATTTGGAAAAGCTGAGAAAGATGATGAAAATTGGTTTGTTAAATGTTTTCACACTTTTTAAAAAGTATTCTTCTAATTAACGTTAATTGGTTTTGATTCATGTATGTTTTCCATTATCAGATTATTGATTCAGAAACTTAAAACAATAAACGTCATTTGTGCATCTTCTTGAAATTCCTAGGGGTCCTTGAAAACTCATTAAATTTGTAAAACTCTCCCAAAATTTCATGAATTCCAAAAACCTGATTTAAAAAATTCTAGGAGAGTGAAAGCAATAGATGTATTTTCCCCACGTTTTCTTTAACTTGCTTTCGCGTCTGTTTGTTTGTCTTTCCATCAAATCTTGCGATCGAAATTTCTGGCACTTCCCAGTTAGCTAGCGCGCTGAAATTTTCAGGAAAGCTTTGTTTCCGATGACAATACAATATTCAATTATTATTATTACTAAATTGATCCATGGAAAATTTTTATTGATCATTTTAGACTCCTATTGATTTGTACAAAAAAGGGACATAACCTAGTAATTGTAATTCGATAAAAACAAGGTTCGGTACTTTCCCTCTTCTGGCTTACTGAATTTTCTACTTTTTAGTTCAATCAGAAAACGTGGGTTTTTTTTTTAATTTTTTAATGATAGTTATTATTAAAAATCTTCTCTGAATCTGCCAACTCCAAACATCGGCACCTGTGTGATCACCACTCTTGTTCTCTTGTTAGTGGGAGAAAAATCAGCAGCTCTAAAGCATTCGTCATACCATGAACAATTGCTAGAAATTCTACTGTCCCGTCAAAAGGGGAATTGTTCCTTTTTTTTACAAATAATCGTGTCCCATTCCGCTTACGGTGAAGCTTGTTCCACTTTTTAAAAAAAAAGGGAAAATTTAGAATTCATTTTTAAAAAACGAATAAATCAAAATAAAAAAAAATAATCAGGGAAAAGTGATTCCATTTCCTTGTTTACCTACGATAGATAAATAATTTGGGGAAAGTCAGTTGCTGAGCAAAGATTAAGCATTTTAAAAAATGAACACAATATTTTTGAAGTAGTATTAAAAAATAAATGTTCTTTTGACATTTGTAGATTTTTTAAATTATGCTTTGAGTAAATTGTATGGAGGAAAATACCATGAAATCATGACTAACGCTCTCATTTCTAGATGTATATCTATCTAACTAGGTAGGCCTTAACTCTCAACATTTACATGAGTTTCAGCATTTGTTGTTCATATGGCCTAGTACATAGCAAGGCAGGGATCATCTAAAATAATCTAAGATGGCATCAACTACTGTTAAATAAAATCAATAATGTTATGTTGAAGTTATGGTTTTATTGTGTGCATGTTTGGGAGGGGGTCTCAGGTTACTGGTTAGACTAAATTTTTAAAAAAATGTAAGCTGACATTTAGCAGTATTTAGATGTAGAGACTAGCTATAAAAAACTATAGGCCTACCATACCTGTACTGTGTAATGTCACACAAATTATTTTAACTATTTTTGGCTTAGCAAAGTAGCATGTGTATGTTCCTCTTTTTGGCTTCAAATTCCTCTTTTTGGCATGACTGTTCCTACTTTTGGTCGCCAGAGGTAAACATGTCTGAATTGCTATTTATGATAGTTAATTTTTCCTCAAACCAATAAATTTGATGACTTGGTGTCATTTTGAATGCACATAAATTTACAGCCATTACTAGTACCACACATGCAATATTAATGTTAAAGAAATCTAATTTAAGTGTAAATGAACATTTTAGAAGAGAAAAAAAAGTAGGTTTAGTAACAAATTGCTAGTATTTCAGGCAACACAGAAGAAAAAAGATCAATCTATTATTCAAAGGGGTGTAGGACAACAAGCCGACAAGACAAAAGGCAGGCACGAACTAAAGGCCGACAGGACATAAGGCTGACAGCCAAAAGGCAGACAGCCCTATTTTTTTCTATTTTGTAATATAAATTTATCATTATGTAACTGGTTTTCAATGAAAATTAAACATGTCTGTAATTGTAGTTTGTAATTTTATAAAACTTGTCAGCCTTTTGTCTTATCAGCCTTTTGGATTTCGGCCTTTTAGCAGTCTGCCTTTTGTCCATGTCGGCCTTTTGTTCGGATCCCTATTCAACGTGATGCCTAATACTGTACTGGCTTAACAGGTTAACAGGGATTATATGTTGTTTTTTTTTACCTGCACCAACCTTTTGCTTTGAAATAATACTAGTTAAGCATTGCTTAGACAAAATAAACATTACCGAATTTTTTGGTGCTCTGTTAGGTTATAGTTTGAAATGCTGTATATGTGTTTTAAAGTTTTAGATCACGCTAGACCTAGTAAATAGATCAACATGAGCGCCTGCACTTGTTGTAAATATAGCCATACAATCCAGATTTCTTAATTTAAAAAATGTAGTGAAATTTGTATAAAACTCCCTGAAAACACCTGTATTCGGCAACAATTATTTTTTATCAAAACATTTTAAAGTTGCATGCAGCAAATATTGGTATTTTGTATTTCAGCTGAAATTCGTAAAGATACAAGTGGTCATTATCAAAATGCCCTGTTGCTTGGAGATGTCCTTGAGAGAGTAAAGATTCTGAGAGGTTGTGGTCAAAGTAAGTTTTTTTTTTTTTTAATTTTTGCCATACTGTACAAGTGTAAAATATTAATCTTGTTAAAGTTATTTATCAGCTCTTTTATTTCAATGATTAGTTTTGTACCTTTGTGAGAAATTAATTCTAACCTTCTGATTCCTAGATCTCAGCCCATTTCTCCCAACCCATTCCTAAGAAAACTCTCACAATTCTTTAAATACACATTTTATTCACAAAAAATACAAATTAAAAGAGACAAGTAATGTGAATTTTTAAAATTGCTTTTAGTTTTTACCAGATGCAGGTGCATCTCATAATTAAACTGAGCTCTACTATATTTTCAATCTTCAAGACTTCACAAACGTTTACTCATCTGCTTATGGATTATAAAATTAAATATTAGCACTATTATTATTTATTCCCTCCACAATTATACAACTATTCCTCATTTTGTCTTTTAACCTAGTCCAGATGCACCTGTAAAAAAAAAAACAAAGTTATGCAATTATAGCAAAACACAGGGTTCTCATACAGTTAAGGAAATAGGATGGGCATTTTAAAATGACATTTCCCGGTTGGAAATATGTAGGGATGCCACTTTTTTGGGATATCCTGGTATTCTGGATTCCATAAACTAAAAATCATGCAGCTTATGGCCCTTTCCGCCATTCACCCATGCGGTAGATAGTAAACCTAAAATGAACTTGAAGCAGATGAAAATGAAAAAAAAAAAAACCAGCCTGACAATAATTTTAAAATTTAATAATTTAATGTTGCAAATCAAGAGAACTTGAAAATAATTTTTTTTGGTTTAAGGCTACATTTCTATTTATTTTCATCAAGCCTAAGTTAAAACCTAAGTTTCACTTTCGTAAGATAAACATTTAACTCTTTGAATTCTATAAACAGGAACTTTGTGATCGATATTCTGAAAACCCCACTTCTTAAAAACCCATAGTAATTTGTACTCAGAGCTTTACTGAC